GGGTTTCCATGTTAGTTTGGGGGGATTGTAATTGGAGAAGAAAACTCAACCCTCAGCAGGATTCTCAGATTAAGCTTGGAACGGAAATCTGGGGATAGCTCCAGAATCGACTTTGTGCTGTTGTTTGACTGGAAGGGTAACCTGCACATTGTTCCGCATTGCAGATTTGCCTGATGGCGCGTCTGACGAAGCAAATCTGCCTACAGACGAGCCGTCTACAAGAGTCCTCAATGCCAGAACACGCCAAAGGATGTAAAAAAGCAGACGACGAATGATAGAGATGGCTGAGAAAATTTATACCCGGAACATTGTCTCTTGAATTTGGTGTTGAAATTGTGGCAAATTAGAAATTGTAGATTATCTGGAGGGAAGCTTGGGGATGATGTAAGGGTACTTGTAGGGTAGGTCAAGGAGTCCTGAGAGCTGAATGTTTGCAAGGAAGAACATAGGGTTCCATGTTTGGGATCTTTGGTCACGATCTACATTCAGATATGGAACTTTCGCAACGCATGCTAGGATCCGCGCATGCTTCGCAAATTGCCAGTGCTCGCAGGTGTCCGTGTCGACACACAGCCCTGCAAGAATTGCGACCCCGCGGACTACACCCCCACAGGCCCCAGTGTTGAGTTTGTGACGCATGCATAGAATGGATAGGAGAAGCAGAGCAATGGTGCAAGGAAAAGGGAGGGTTTGCGAGAAACGGTGCGGCTGAGCAGGCCTGTCAGTCAACCTAGTCAAATCATCCCAAAATTGCTGTCTGGAGAAGGCTTTAGCACTTCAACCAGCAACCTCGAACCCTAAACCCTTAGCAGAACCCAACCCAAAGCCAAAACCCTTAGCAACCCAAAAATCTCCAAGCCCGAGGCCCTAGCCCCCATAGGCAACCCAAACCCTCAAACTTAAGAGCCTCCGGCTCAGTCCGCCGACCCAGAGGCGGAGAAAGCACGAAAGCCTAAACGCGAAACCTTGAGGGTTTTCAGCGGCTGGCACGAGACCAATAGATAGG